CCGGCCGGGGCCGGGGCGGGGGCGGCCGGGGCAGCCCGCCCCCCCGACGGCCCGCCCGCCCCGTTTAAAGCCGCAGCCGGGGCAGGGGACGGGCTGCGACTCGTCGGGCATCCCCCGGGCCCCGCCCGCAGGTCGGCCTCTCCCAGCACTGACCGCGAAGGTCAGAGGTTTGCCGGAGCGAAAGGGTTGCTCTCGCCAGGGGCAACACCCGGGGACAGAAGCAAACCCGGCAGCTTCACCGGGCCCCCGTCCCCACGCACAGGCAGCCCAGGGATGTTTGCAGGCAAACCAGCCCCCACTCCAAGGTGAGGTCTCAGCCCGTCTCCTCTTGGCACCCCAACGCCACTGCCCGTGGCAGTCCCAGCCACGGCACGTCCCCATGCTGGCGTGGGAGCCCGGGCAGAAGCGGGGACGGCGCCCATCCAAGCACCGAGCTGTGCCAGAGCTAATCTCCCCTGCCTCGCAGCAGAGTCCGCAGCGATAAAATGATCCGTTTGGGATGAACGACAGTTTTAAACACTTCTGAATGGGGACAGAGTCCAAGACCTGACTGTAAAATCTGGTTTTGAAAGGGCTTAAAATAAATCCCACGCTGCCCTAGTCTTGCTATTTAAAGGGGATTATCTAAGAGGTTTAGGAGCACACAGAGGAACGGCAAGACAACTTGTGCACCTAAATCCCCTCAAAGACCTTAGGAAATCCCCCCCCACTTCACCTACCGTGGGGTCAGGGCTCACGGGACGCCCTCCAGCTCTCACCGAGAGTTGCACCACATTGCCCAGGGAAGTCAGAGGCTCCCGTTGGATGCGTGGGGTTCGATCCCAGCCCCGCAGCAGCACACACCCGATCTCCAGAGATGGTCCCCTCCTCACCGGGGACCGTGCTGCAGCCGTGCCCGGGGCAGGGGGTATTGGTGCCATCGTCCCACAGCTGCCCCCATTGCCCCACAGAGCTGAGTCCCAGCATCCCCACCAGATGGAAATCCGGCTGTGCCCAGTGAGACATCCCCCCTGCGGGAAAAAGCCACCCTGTGCCACTCAGACAGTGAGGGTTTTTTAATAAATACCTTTTTTTGCACAGAAATATACCTAGTTTTACAGAATACAAACTGCAGGGATAATGACCGAGCATCAAAGACAGAGGAGGCAGAGCACCCTTCTGTCTCCCTCCCGTCTTTTCCAGGCTCTGACCCTGACACTTGCTGTCGGGTCTTCCTTAACCCCGATTTGCTAAGGCCAAAAGGCAAAGTAAAGGCCTGGGAGGGGACAGACAAGGTGCCAGCAGCTGCAAACCCCACGTCCTGCCCCGGGAACGGCCACACTGGGCGAGCCTCAGCTCTGCGCTGAGGGCACCTGCTGTGAGAGCATTGCTGGGACCGAGGGGGTGCAGGCAGCCGGTGGATGTACAATAGCCTTCGGTGCTGGTGGAGAGACTGGTGCTGGGGTGAACACCGAGGGGTGGCAGTGCTGGGAGTTTCTGGGCTACTCCTGGGGAGCTGGTGAGCACAACCCCCTTTTTAACCCATCAGACATGACTGGGAAAGGACAGCTCTGTTGCTTGGACCCCAAAAGCAGCTGCCCAGGAAAAG